TCTGTGGTGGCAGCGAAAAAGGGGAAAAGAACAAGTCGTGTCCAAAGGTGGACCTGTGTGAGTGGCAAAACAATTATTGTTGTTGTTGTTGTTGTTGTTCAAAAATACCAGACACAGTAAATCAAAATTAGAAAAAACATTGACTGGTATTATATGACTGTGAAGGACAAGGGGCTAGTGTGCCGTCCTCAGCGGAGGATAGACAGGAGGAGACTTCCGGATATGTCGAGGGAGAACTTATCATGATAGAGGAAGAGGAATTCAAGGGAGAGAAGGCGATAGAGAAGACAAAGGGGAGGAGCAAGATCTGATATTATGGGAGGAGGTTATAAAATGGGAAGAAGAAGTGCGGGAATTTATAATTGAAGTGGGAAGAAAGAAGAGAGCATGAGAGACAGCGCGGAGCAAACATATAGAGTGGACGAACAAGCTAACAAGGTCTGTGACCTGCTAAGAGAGTTTCCAAACCTTAAGATGGGAGGAGGATTGCTACCAAACCCTTCTTCCCCCAGGGGTGAAGGGAGGATTGTGAAACCACTAGAATGGACAGTTGTGGTTTACCCCCGCAACCAAAGTGGAGGGAGGAAGGTAATCTGTCCCAGTCCCACATGCAGCACCCCACCCTTGGAGGGGGATTGGGTGAGGCATCCATGCTGTGGGACGGTGTGTGCAGTGAGGAGTACCCCGATGCGGTAGATGACTGACCGCGAGCATTTTGGTCCAGCCCTTATGTGAGGGGAGGAGTATTTACATCAGAACCAAAGATATTGAGTTATGGACCGATTCCGGAGTTAAGCAGTTTTGATCCGTTAATTATTGTTAATCAAGAAGCAGATGAGAATAAAGCTAAGTTTGTTGAACAGTTCAAATCGCCTCCGTCTCTCATTCCTGCCAAAATGAAGGAACCGTCACCAATTTCAGAAGAACCCAATCACAATGACAGATATTAACCAAAAGCTTAAATATCTGTTAAATATCAGTGCAGCATATATGCTGTTCCTAATATTGCTGTTTTTTTGTAGCTCTGATGGTGTGATTTCTGAGATCTGCAACTGCTTATTATACTGTGTGAAATTTCTTGATATTGCTTCCAAAGCCCCAATGATGATGGGGACCACTGAAGTGTGTTTCATACACAAGCAAGATGCTTTTATTGCCAGGTCTCTGTACTTTGTTAGTTTTTCCTTTATTTTCGAGTCTGGTATTCCCTAGAATTGCAGTGTCAGTGATTCAGACATTTCTTTGTTCTGTTACTACTATGTTGGGTGTGTTATGTTCAAGGTGTCTATCAATTTGGACCTGGAAATCCCACAATATCTTGACTTTATCATTTTCTGACACCTTCTCTACCTGATATACCCATGGTTTTTTCGAGGCTGGCAAGTTATATTTTTTGCATAATGACTAGTGCAGTAATTTTGCCACTCTGTCATGTTTAATTTTGTAATCTTTGTGCAATCTTTGGACATTAGATTATCAACTTTCATTTTGTAACCTGTGCAATCACAGACTACAAAATGATGATGAGGATGGTGGTGGTGATGATGATGATGAAGATGAAGATGAAGTACTGGCATATATCTGTTAGGTCTCAAATGAGTGAACTTGCTACAAAATTAACAAGACTTGACTATGATGAAGACCTGTAGGAAAAGAAGCTGATACCTTTGTATATTACAGGGTTTCTGGTCTTGCCCAGTTCTGCACTGTTGAACACTTTCAGAGGTTTTTTATATATATATTCTGCATAGAAAGATGGAAAGCTCCAAAAGCCAACATTTATCTCATTAAAGCATGTTGATTGAGACCAGATTTTGAAATGAAATGCCAGAGTGAATAATTCTACAGTAATTATTTTTTAATGATAGGTTTAACTTTTAATATCTTTTTTCCTTGCTGATCAAACTTTGTTTTAAAAAGGAGCTGTCCTGGGAATTATTACCAGCTCAGCGTGACATTGGGAGATGCCTACTGGATGTTCTCTCTTTCCCTTCTCTCTTTTTCCCCTCACTTCCTTGCTTGCATTTACAATCATGCTTTGCATTAGTGCTGTACAATTAGATAAATTGTGTGTGTGGTATTTAAGTTTGTTTTTCTTTTCCCTAAAAAGTAACCAAATTGGTATTAAGTATTCAAGATGTAATCTCCACAGCAGGAAGCAGCGGATCAGATTCATCTTAAATAACTGAGGAACAGCCGAGCTGCTAGTAGAATGCATTTTCTTTCCTATAAATTATTTTTATGTCAGTTTAATGCTTAGGAAAGTTACCAAGTGACTATGTGGGAGAAATGAGATCTCCATTTATTTCCATCTTTATTAGAAAAATATTAGTGTTTAGCTTTCACTTCTGGAAGTTCCATTTTGGCTACTTATGGGTGTTGCTTTGTAACAACACCCTAAATAAGGTTATTTGGCAAACTTATTTCCCATGATTATGTTGGTATATTTTTATACTTCATGTGCATATTGAGATGCAGGGTAAAACGTTAATCTTATGCGTGGACCCAGACAATGATGAACATTTCACAAATGCATGTTTATGACTTGATGGCTTTTATCATTCAATTTCTATTCAGACAACTGGTGAATATGGGGAGCATGTCGGACCAGAGACCTGGGTGTGTTCATTCAGGGGGAGAGAAGATTGAGAGAGGTGGTACAGATGACTGTTAGACGGAAGATGGAGCAAGCTT